ATCATCATGAAATGAACAAATCTGAGAGAGGTCTACCCAAGGTACATATACACCAAGTATCAAAGCATTCAGGCTTGTAGTTTTCAAGAAGAAGTCGAAAAAGTAAAACATTGACACGGACGACGACGGACGACGACGACGACGGACGACGACGGACAATCACTCATATGATAAGCTCCGCTCGACAAAGTCGACAGCGGAGCTAAAAAAACTTGTTGTTCTGTCCAGTCAAAGCCATATTCAGCAATAACATTACATAGCTGACAAGAAATAGATGTTTGTTCGCTATGTTGCGGGAAACAATGCACAACTTTTTAAGAAGATGTCGAAAAAAATATGCAGATGCCAGACGCTGACAGTCCCACACAACAATGGTGATGATGATTGAACTATGACTGCATATGTTTGAATATAGTGTTGCCAAAAAGACTACCATTCACATATTTTAACAAAATTAAGTTACTTTATGAAAATAATAGATGTTGACTTTTAGGTGAACAATTTGAGAACCACTGTAACTGCATGTTGGCCATATTTGAATTGTTTCTTTCTTTAGAATATCATTGATAGGAATGCAATCATCAACATTGTAATGCATATTTGTATTATTTCTGCACAAAAATGACCATCCGGATATTGTAAAAGAGAAAATAATTCCCAATTATTCCTATATAAAACAGAAACCTGTAAAACATTATATGAATTATAACTGTTCTCAATGCACATTTCAATTAAAGATGGGTGGGTCCACCTGAATGAAATTAGGTATAATATCACATCAATCAGACTTGACAAGTCGAAGTATATATACAATCTGACTTTTAAAAAGAAGTCGAAAATATTACTTTTAACCAAAAATGACAAAAATATTCACCAAAATTACAGAATTAAAGATATCATCACGAAAGGTACATATACACCAAGTATCAAAGCACCTAGACTTGTAGTTTTTAAGAAGATGTCAAAAAAAATGATTAGATGCCAGACGCTGACAGACAGCAACAACGGACAGCAATGGACAATCACTCATATGATAAGCTCAAGTTGACAGCGGAGCTACATATTATATGATTATAATTTTTGTATTGATACAATCATTGTTCAATTCGTCCAGTCACTATTGAGTTTTGTTACAACATTTTTCCTCAATAAATTTACTGCTCATATTACCGGTATAACCATGCCAGGAATATGATTACGATGATTGTTTAACATTAAAATGATTGACATTTGTATCTGATCATCAATCGAGTACTTATTGAGAAATATTGCTCTGGAACAGCATTAATTAAATCAAAATCAACCATTTTGAATACATGTATATATCTATAACACTGTGTAAAATGATTATATACAATTTGAACATAATCAGTCAAAGCATGTCAGAGATATGGCTCTAGAAGCCCATTCATTAAAACAAAATGGCCGCCAGTCAGCCATTTTGAATCCGGTCTGAAAAATATAATCACGTGCATCAGGAACCTGTAATGTTAATGTATGTACCAAGTTTGAACGAAATTCACCCATAAATGCCAGAAATACATGATATTTGATGACTTTTTTGCACAAAATTTGCCACGATTCGGTCATTTTGAATAGAATTGTCAAACCAATATATCTGTATATATCTGACATGAAGTATGATGAATCTTTAAAATGTGAATATAATCAGTCAAACAAGTCAGAGACAGCACTAGAATCACATTTGTTAAAACAAAATGGCTGCCAGTCGGCTATTTTGAATCTTATCTGAAAAACAAAATGATTTGCACCAAGGTCCCGTAATGTCTAATGTATATAACAAGTTTGAACAAAATCCACCTGTAAACAACCGAGAAATGCTTGATTTTGATGATTTTTCAGTACAAAAATGGCTTCCATTCGGCCATCTTGAATCAGATCGTGAAACAAATTGCTGTATGTGGGAACCACGATAAAGATTATCCTTCACCCCCTTTCCAGGCAATACATTTTACCCTTCACATTAAAATATTACGGCCCAAAATCAAAATGCAGCCTTTGTCTTCGCTAACAAATCATTCAAAAGCGAACATGGTCAGTTACATACAGGGTTTTAAGGTGTAGCTTATCTACACTGGTGAGACCAAATGATTGTCATATAATGGTATGATATTATTAGAAGATCACAGCATATCAATATGTTGAACAGCCATAAATGTACACGCATACATAAATCATTCGAAATACGAGTTTATTATTTTATTACGATCACTAACATTAATATCTAATTTGCAATACAACAATATAATATGTATCATATGAGATAAATGTGAAATAAACAGTATCGCATGCAAACATATACGCATGTATTGCATACACACCTAATGGGAAACTACAAACATTGCAGTAAATATCCGTAAAACATTGCAATAAAATTTAGGCTCATGTAAATTGCTGTTTTATATTTCTATTCTATGGCTTCCACATTATATACCACATGGTTACTTTTAAATCAGCTGCTCTCTGAAATTGTGCAGATCCTCCTTTGTTTCAAGATTATTTTTTAAGGGGCACATTAACCATCTTCGTTACAGAGAAACGTTTTGAATAGATGATTGGTGGAGCAGTTTGCTGCAATAGTAATTGTGATTTGTTGGTAGCGATCACGTACGAGATGTGGATAAGCTGAGGCCAATACAGAACAAAATTGCCTCATCTCATGAAAAGCTAGGTAAAACACATTACTATGACAATAACATCAAACTTTGATACAAATGCAGATGATATACATTAGAATTAAATATATATTTCAGAAAATAAATTTGTCTAAATTACCTCATTCTGAATTGCTGAAACGAATGTGTAAAAAAAGGTTTGATGTATGCTATTGGTCACATCGAATACCTCAAACATCTTTAAGGAAATTACGATATTCATTTTCCATTGATGCCACATATTTTTGTTTGAATTTTAGTTCGTAAGAGTAGAGAATGAGAATCCAAGTTCTATGATATACATAGGAATGTAGACAGACAAAAATAAGATACTAGTTTGTTATATTATTTATTTAACCCTGATCATCGACTTGTGTCGCCTCGTCGCGGTTGGACGTTCTTGCCGTTTGTTGAAAAGAATTAATTGCGATACAAATAAAATATGCTAAAACTAAAAGCAAAAAATACCAGAGTGGTAAAATTTAACAAAATAATATTTAATGTTAGCCACAACACCATGTTGATGCATTATCTGATTTTAGAATTATATGCTTGAATTAGTAGATATTTTTTAAGAAATTTAATATATATCAGTTACCTGAAGTGGAATAAATGACGCGAACTTTGACGTACATGCGATGATTTTTATCTCCCGTTAACTGGTGAAGACACTGATCACAGAAATGTATTTAAATAAGCTTGCCTACTTTAAAGCTCGTGCTTTACATCAGCAAATATATTGTATGAGCAACAGCTAATTATTGTATATGTTTAACAAAACATTTCCAACGCTTCTAATAATTAGTAACTAAATAAAAAAGAACATGACCAAACTTTGAAACATATTTTGCCTAAAGAAGGCTTTGTGAAGCATATCTGTAAATGCAACGTGAAGTATTGTCCGACAATATGTTTTGTCCAATTCACGTGTACACATAGTGCTATGCATATTCGCTAGTCCAACGCGTTATGGAGCGCCCACCGTATCAGATCTCCATTGAGCATCCGTCTCACAAGAGTTCAGTCGTGATGCACAAATATAGTTATTCTAACATTGTCCTCTGGTTAGAATATCGGCAAGTTACCAAATTGTTCAAGTGACTTCACTTAAAATAGTATTTGTAGCTTCATAATGCTAACAATCATAGCACGTATTTCTGCATTACAGCATATTGGTATATGGCTTGTTGACTTGTTCAAATAATTCACAAGTTCATTGTGTACCGTTATACCGATTACTTTCAGATTCATACACAAATTGTTACTGGTAAAACTCGCGGTTTTTCGATATTAAAAATATTTTGTATTATAACATTTTTGGTCGTTTTTTTTTCATATCTTCATTATTCTAGGAATAATAGTATTAAGCGTTGGTTATGTTTGTCGCTGACAGACATCATCTTTTTTCCCTAGTATGTGAAGGCGCATCTTCATGTTTCTGGAGTTGATAAGGCATCCTAGTATCGCCAACCGTCCTCGATTATTAGTTTTTCAGGTCCGAATGGAAACTTCGTGATATTTTCAGCACCGTCTTCATTGACAATCAAGATGTCATGTTCTCGGTATCCACCAGCACCAGGAATGCCATCAGGAATCATGATCATAGGTTCCATTGAAACAACCATTCCAGGTTCCAGAACAGTGTTGACATCCTCTCTCAGTTCCAACCCTGGAAAATGAAATTAAAGTAAGAATGCAGGTTAAAATGGATTATTTGTTTGATTGATTACAGTTATATTATTAGTCAAATATCAGGCCGTATTATCCTATGGGATGATAGATATATCCTGCTTACCAGCTTCTCGACCATAATAGTGGCATAGAGTTCCAAACGAGTGGCCATAACCGAAGGTTCGATACTTCAGCAGGTCATTCTCACGGTAGATTTCATTCAGCTCTTGAGCAATCTCATTGCATTTGGCACCTGGCTTGATCAGATCTAGACCTTTGCGATGTACCTTACAGTTGATCTCCCACAGTTCAAGGTGTCTGTCAGAAGTAACGTGATCAAGGAACATGGTTCTCTCAAGTGCTGTATAGTATCTGCAAATGCAATAGTGTGTTTGAAGAATTAGTATAAATCTGCTAAATGTACAATTAGATGTATACACTGAATCACAGCATATTCATAGTGGTCAAGCAATAAAAGACAAACTAACAAATGGTGTGTTGATTACAGTCCATTTTCAGTTTAATCAGCTAATGATTGTACTTACCCAGAAATCATCGGGAAGCAATTGGCACTCAGTATGTCTCCTTTCATTAAGCGTCTTGATGTGACTGGATTGTGTGCACCATCAGTGTTGAGACCAGACTGAAACCATACCCAGGCTGTTAAAAGAGAAACAGTAGATATTTCTGAAATCATCGAGAATCTCTGATTAGTAGATACATGTGTTTAGTATAAAGTAATATCAATCATATTCAACACAGAGAAAATGCGTAGGTTTATCATTGACCCAAAAAATACAAAAAATAAAATCTCACGCACATACTTCTACAAATCGTTGCTCAAAGAAGATAGAAGCTAAAGCACGTGGTTTCATTAGAAGTGTACCTATAATCATACTTACTGTCTCTTAATTCAGCATGTGGGAATGTCTTTGCGATCTCCCGTACCATAGCATCAGTTCCAGCAAGAGCTACTTCGTGTTCCCCCACTCCTTCCTGGATAGCATTCACACATGCCCATCCACCAATGTCAGCAATACGAGCACCATGTCGGATCACAAACTGCTCTTCCGGAGATTTTATCATTCTCATTTTCATGGTGTGTGCACTGACATCAACCAGAGGGCGGACAGGAAGAGCTCTCTCCAGTTTCTTGAAGTTCTCCAGAGCAACATGGTCAAACTCTATGCCAATCGCTCCCTTGTAAGGTGCAAGGATATTCTCTACAGCATGGTAGAAGTTGTCTTTATGCCAGTCAGTGTAGGAGACGTTGTCGCCATAGGTACGGCGCCATGGTTGACCACCATCAATGTTGGCTGAAATGCTGATGCTCTTGTCCTCTGTAACCACCAGTCCATAAGGTCGTCCAAAGGAGCAGTAGAGGAAATCACTAAAGTAATTGATATTGTGATATGAAGTGAATAGACAAGCCAGTAATCCGTTCTCCTCCATGTGATGTCGCAATTTACTAACCCTCGTCTCCATCTCAGCTTCAGAGAAGGTTGATTTCACCTGTTTAGTGGAAAAGACGATTTATTTAGCTAAGAGATAAATTAAAACTGCCATAGTCTGCATCTGTGGGAATAGGTAAAATTATATGCATAGGCAACTATAACAGGAAGCTAGTGGTCCAATGAATATTCGAAAATGCCTCTTGCGAAGAATTAAGCCCTCGTCGTCTCCCACATGAATCTAATCCCACCCAAACACCCTTGCAGAACAATGTATGTGCGAGAAAAGTCCCTCCTCAACTTTAGACGACATATAAAACTTCACATGAGCTGTAGGTTTCCATCTCTTCTCATTCCCCATTGTTCGTTCACACAGAAGATTAGTGGCAGTTCCAACTAATATCTACAGTGGTTTTGTCGCTACAGACAATTTCATCTGGCTTTAGGAAGCTTTCTCTGATAAGTTGAAAATAAAAAAATATTCGAGACCCCCCGCGAAACACCGTTTTTGCTTTGTGTAACGACAGGTTGGCATGACGTTATTAGCTGGAACTGCCAATCAGAACAGAAAGAACGAGCCTTTAGTTTGCGATATACTCAAAATTATCCTGATGCACGGCTTTGTCTTTCTCGCTTTCTCCACAGAGAGGTAAAGGCATTGTAGAATATCAACTTGCGGGTGAATAATATTTCTATTATGCAGACAAAGAGAACTGTATTAATAGGGTTATCTGACCACACCAATAAACTTGCATACCGCTGACACACCATTCCTGTTTGTGATGTTCGTTGGTATAGCTTGTGTTGCTCGTTGGTGTCGTATGTCATCATAATGTATAATTTCTTAATTAAAATGATCCACCAAACTATC